TTATTGTTAAATTATTAATTAATTTTTAATTTTTTATCGTTAACAATTCATAATTAACAATTAGAAATTCCCATCGCTACCTGGATCGTCAATCCAATTGATCTCCGCTTACTCAGCTCTAAGAATCCCAAATTTGGGGATGGCTAAAGCCATGTACCCACGTGCTTTTCTGGGTTCCACAGGGGTCCAGATATCGACCGGTCAAATTCTGGCTCAGATGCGACAGTGTTCAATAACAGTATTACCCGTCAGATTACGACTGTCGGGCATTGCAAAAAAAATTTTATCGAAAAATAAATAAAAAAATTCGGATCATATGAGCAAGCAATAGTGTAAAAGTTTTACAAAAGAAAGATCCAAAGAATTTTAAAATACAAAAAGGAACTTCACCTAGTTGTTTCGACTTATCCAATCGTAAAAAACTTCTTCAAGTGCCTTCGCCCTACCTAGAGAATTTTAAAATGCGAAAATATACTGTACATACTTCGATTATCTAAGGAATTTTAAAATATTAGAAATTTACAACACGAGCAAATATTTTCAATGCGTCAATCTATCTAGTGAATTTTAAACCATGAAAGACGATTTTAAGTACTTTGATTTACTTAGAGGATTTTAAAATATAAGAAACTACTCGAACGCTTCGATTTATTTTGAAAATTTATTTAAAAAGTACATACGCAAAGTACGTCATATGACATTCTAGGTATACCCTGGAAAAAGAAAAAGTACGTACTGTACGTCAGGGCTAAACCGACATATAGTAAATTCCGGTCATCCAAAATGTCGTTTTGATCTATCTAAATTAAAAATAATATATTAACAAAAACAATAGCATTAAATAACTAATAAAATTTGCTTATTTTACTATTGTTCTTTGATCGCAATAATCATGCATCAAGGATGACACTTCGAATGACCGGAATTTACTATATGTCGTTTTAGCCCTGCTGTGCGTACGTACGTACTGTACGTCCATCTTGATAAATTTAAATAAGCTACGTACGTACAGTACGTACCAATTTTTGCCGAATAACCAAATTAAACTTTTTTTCGAATGGTAATTAATAGTTATCTCAAACATACCATACAATCGAACATAATATCGTATCACATGGCATCAAAATTAATTTGTCAAAAATTAAGGGTTAACTGCGCATAGAATGATCTCCTTAACAATTAAATAAATAATTGTCTTTTTGTTGCGATTTGCAAAATTCTGGATCCCATTGTTTGAGTGATGATCATCACTAAGATAAGCGTTTCTATTACATTAAAAGAATCCTTGAGATTGAGTTCTGATCGATTATTTTAGGGCTTATTCTCAAAAGATCGCTTGGCACCCTTACATATAATAGAAGTGTTAACTGCGCCTCAGTCTATTGTGATTGTGGTGCGGTAATTACATGTAAGAGCATCAGACGATCTTTTGAGAATAAGCCCTAAAATAATCGACCAGAACTCAAAGGATTTTCTGATGTAATAGAAGCGTTTATCTTCGTCACAATCACAATCGTTTGTGAGCGATCATCGTTCAAGCAAATCGCTATAAATAAATAAATAAATAAATAAAAAAATTGATTTTTTTTCTTCAGACGACATTTTGCACTTATTTCATTTATACGGTTCTTTAATTATCAAGATTATTAAATTTCTTCCAAGAAAGTATCTTACACAAGAAGCTTAAGTAATAACCTTTAGCCGCTTAATAAAAAATGGAAAATCCGAATTACGCAACAGTAAGATCTGACGACGAATTCATAAATAATGCTGAACCAACAAGAATACAAGATAACAACAAAAACCGCAGCAGCATCACTAATCTTGATGAAGTTTCTATTAAATCAGGCAATGACACTGAAAAAGCTAATAAAACTCAACATAGAAAAGTTATTTCTAGAGATGCTACCAAGTGGTATAAAAATACTAGAGCCGTTTTGACTGCCTTCAAATCAAATTTTTTGTTGATTTTTTTACCTCCCGCTATTATGTTGAAGTATTTTCACGTCCATGAGGGTTTAGTGTTTGTCTTTAATTTTTTGGCAATTATTCCGTTAGCCAAAATTATGACTGTTGGAATTGATGATTTCGCGACCAGATTGCCTCCGGTAAAAAAAAAAAAAGATAACAGAATAAAATAAAATAAAAAATAAAAAAATAAAATTCTTTTTAAACTTTCATCGAATTTTTATATTTATATTTATCGTCTCATATTTGATGATAGGCATATGGCGTAGTTCTACATGCCTGCTCTGGAAACTTTGTAGAGCTGGTTATTTTAGGTTACGCTTTAATGGATAGAAACTATTCCATTGTCCGTTCATCATTACTTGGTGCTATTTTGTGTAATATATTGTTGGTAAGCAACACTCGTTATAATTATTTATTTATTTATAAGTAGTCTATTTAATTATTTGTGGTTTTTGAATTTTATAGATTCTTGGTGTAGTCTTTCTGGCTGGTTCATGGCCAAGGGTTCATCGAGAGTCCAAGCATGCTCATTTGAACACTCAGTTATGGGTAGCGACTAGTGCTTCAACACTCGCTCTCGCTGTTCTTGCTCTCGTAACCCCTGCTGCATTCAAGATTGCTGCTCCTGCCGGTACTGGTATTGAATGTGATATTCAAAATATCAGCCATTCTACTGCTATTGTTTTATTACTCGTATACTGTGGTCTATTGGTATTTCAGCTGAAAACTCACGCTCATGAGGTTTGTAGACTTTTTTGTTTACTGTAGTCTATTATATTTTTATTTTCTCTCTTATTCTTTCTCTTATTTTTTTTCTCCTTATTTACTAGGCTTTTGACACTGAAGAATATATTCCAAAAACAGCTAAATATTTCGTTATATTTGATGTGCTTTTGTAAGTCTTAAACTCTTCCTATTTTGCATATCAATGCTCGTATTAAGATCATTTTCTATTCTTAGGATTGTCTTGTCAGGTTTGGGCATTACTGTATGTGCAAGATACCTTGTGACAAGTATTGAACATTTAGCTCACAACTTTAGACTTGGCAACGGTTTTATTGGGATGGTCCTTATACCTCTTTGTGGTACGTTTTTATGCTTCTCAGTTTGCTATGTTGTCTGCCTTTTTATGTTACTAATAATATATATATTTAGTTGTTTCTAACTTTATGGAGCACTATGATGCCATCAAAGTAGCTTCTAAAGATAAGGTCGATACAGCTGTTAGTTTGGTTCTCAATACCTCTGTGGTAGCTTGCTTTCTTTTGTTATAAAATACGAATCAACTTCAAAATTTAATTGTTTTATTAAGATTTTATTATTGACGTTAAAATTTTACTTTTTTAAAAAAAATAGCAAATTGCTCTTTTAATTGCTCCTGCACTTGTTCTTATCGGTTGGGCAGTTTCTAGGCCATTAACTTTGGATTTCAACGTATTGGAAGTCAGTGTGTTAGCTTGTGCTGTACTAATTGTTAATTATCTAGTTGCGGATGGTAAAACTAATTGGTTGGAAGGGTATATGCTTATTGTATGTTTCATTTATTTATGCTTATTTTTATTATTTATAGATACTAATTATACTCAATTAGCTCAATTATATTATTTTTTATGATCTACTTACAGATGTCTTATGTTATGGTTGCTGTTGTGTTCTTCTATCTTCCTGAGATACCTGATCTTCCTGAAAATGCAAATTGTAACCCTTGGAGCCGAAACCTTCCTCCAGAAGGTTCTACAATAAATATTGAAGATATTATTCATTGATCCTTTTTAGATTGTTATTAATAGGTTTTGCACTTTATGAAACAATACCTTATCTAGATTAATATCTCCTTTTATCACGAATTTAAATATTCCTCCAGATTCTTCAAAAAATATTGAATATATTGTTCATTAGTCCCTTTAAATTGTTATTAATAGACTTTATTTTGCACTTTATGAAACAATGCCTTATCTATATTAGTATCTTCTTTTTCACGAATTTTAACTCGATTTTTTTTTTAATTATGTATTTACATATTTACAGTACATAATTTTTATAATTTTGTTACGAGTTGTATATCTATTGTCGCGGCTCAACCTGGAAACGGCTGAGACTGGAACTTTAAATACTTTAATATGAAATTTTCAAAATTTTTTAGGGCGTATTTTTTTAGCTTTTTTTTTTTTTTTTTTATAGTTAGGTGTGTCCGCAATTATGGGTTTTGATTTGCTGGTTGGCATGATCTGTGATCTGTGTTTATTGTTTCAATCAGCCAATTAAATTCCTTCGGACTTAAATGGTCACCATTACTAACCTAGTACTACGGCGGGTCTGTGTTGCAAGGAAAAAAATTTTCAAGTACATGCATTTACAATAAACAAATAAACAGTCTATAAATTTAAACAAACTCCGCCTTTAATTAATAGAGATCTTGCCTTTTTCACCAGGATATTTTGCGTGGAGGGTATTCAAAAGGGTTTATCATGAAATACGTAATCACGAACCGGTCTAGATCGGTTCAATACCAAGGATCGAATAAACTTTCGGTCCCGGCTCAAAGCCAGCCCAAACTGGTCTTTGCAAGAATCGATCCAACCCTAATCACATGCCTAACATGTATTGCTGTTTATACATATTTTATGACAGTGTAAAGTTTTTCTGTAAGGCCACGCAAAGTTAATTTTTCGTTTTGCATAACATGGGATCTGAACAATTGGGTCGGTCGTGGGAGGGGGTTTTTTTTTTTGTGACTGCTGCTGGCTATATTGGATAGTCTCGGGAAATGAGGGTTCCATCGGGTGAAAACGGTTAAAACTATGGAAAAAAAATAAATGGCAGAAATCGAATAAATGGTACAATTGTCACTAAAAAAAAAAAAGAAAAAACAATTCCGAAAAATTGAAAAATCGGACGGTCGGATTATGCAAAACGTAAAGTCAACTTTGCGTGGCCTAATATTTTGCATAAACAATTGTCATGGCAAAAAATGTCACACGAGCATTAGGGACACACAAAATGTGAATTCAAATAAATACAAATTACCAGCCAAATTCTAAGGAACGAAATTCTAAGGAAATACAAATTTATAAATTTTTTCAATTTTTATATAACATTAGATCATTAAAAATTCTGTAACAAGACTTAGACAACGGCAGGACGGTTCGTCAATTTTCGGACTTGTGGAAGGTATTCGGGTATTCCCGGAATAAATGACCGGCCTGATTAAGTGGACAGTTTTTTTTGCTGAAATTATAAATTTCATACGGGTAAATTGATTTTTTCGTGTCCCTGACGATCATATACATAAATGTCAGATAACATTGTTTCACGGCATCACACATTTAATATATATACAGAAGAAAAATTTGTCTTACGCACGTACGTACGTACGTAATCCTTTAACATGTCGAAGTTACCGAACGAATGCCTTTTAGATATATTCATTAATCTTGAGGATGATTATTCAAGTTTATTTTCATGCCTTCTTGTAAACCGTAGATGGTGTAGAATTATTGTACCAATATTATGGAGCAGACCAACAGAATATTTTGGCGATAGTAAACTTATAAGACAATATCTTGTAGCGTTAAATGGAGAAGAACAAGCTCCATTAATCCCTTTTAAAATTATTATTCCAAGTTATCCAAGATCGCTATTTGAATACACAGCTTATACTGTGTCAGTCGGCTTTTTATTAACTAGTGGAATTAAAAATTGGCTTGTTAAAGAATATAATATGGATAGATTTAATGATTTAACCCCTATTATAGATGCTATTAAATGTTCTTTAGTTACAATGTTTCTACGAACAAGTAAAGAACTTAAATATTTAAGATATCGTTTTAGCAATTTTGATTCCGAGGGAATAAAATTTTTAATGAGGAATATTAGCAAAAATACTACTTTGACTTTCTTAGATCTTTCATTTAATGATCTTGGTCCTGAGGGAGTAGAAGTGCTAGCGGAAACACTTTATAACAACATTACTTTAACATCTTTAAAGATTGATGGTAATAATATAGGATATAAGGGAGGGAAGGCCTTAGCAGAAGTTCTTTACAAAAACAACACTTTAACTGATTTAAATATTA